AAACATATTTAAACAGGAAATTTTCTACTAGGTTGAGAATGTGATTCAGCCGAAGGTATGCCCAGAGAAGTGCCAGAACTGCAAAAAAAGCAAGGAAAAGAAAGACTCATATGGCACAGACATCTCCCTTAGCAGGAACAAAGAGCACTCCAAGTGCACACCAAGACAGCACTGCTCCTGGACCACTTGGCTCTCCTGGCTCAAGCTCCACTTTTTTGGCAGGGACAATTCGCTAGAGGCTCAGCCAAATTGGCATGAGAACAATCAAATCAGTGGCAAATAGGTAAAATGATTGCCATGTTACTTCGGAAAGAAGATGACTCAACCCAAATCAAGTGGGAAGTTGAGAGCCAAGAGAACAGCATTGCAGGAAAACAAGGCATCTGGAGCATAAAAGCAGCCACAACAGGAATTCCCTTGTGACTAGACATGAAATATTATTACATAATTGCTCTGAGTGATTAAAACGCAGCCTTCAACTAACCACTTCCCTCTATGCCAACCCCAAGAGGTGGAATGATCTGGAATGTTGCGGGTGCACACAGAGGGATGCTGTGCTATCAACCTCGGCAATTTAATCAAGCCTCAGTCCTTGCCTATCATCAGCTTTTGGTATCCATTAAACAAATTAGCATACAGAACAACAAACAACCTCACTTAATCCAATCAAACACAGAGGACAGGCCATCCTAGTAACAGGGGAAAAAAACCAACCACCATGAATCCTGTAACTAAGAGCTGCCATGAAAATGTTGTCCCAAGATGACAGCTGGCTTTGCAGATGGTCTGAAGATGCAGGCACTAAAGATTAGTAAGAGAGTTAGAAAAGTCCCTGCTGAGCACACACTCCAACTTCCTGCTAAGCTTCATGTGTAGTTGTCATTGTCATTCAGTTGTCATGTTAGTTGTCATTATGTTGCTCACGGTGTTAGTGCTAATAATTTACCTGAAGCATCACTGTGCAAATTGGTAAAATGAGATCTCAGGTTTCTCCACAGCAAAAAAAAAGAGTATTTCTCAGCATCCTTCCTTTGGACAGTGCACTCTGTTTATAGCAATATGGTGATGTTGTGATAAAGAATAGATTAAATCTTTAAAGAATTATGTAGCAGTGAAAAGGCCTTGCAAGTGCTAAAGGAAGAAATTCATGTACAAACCAAGCTAAAGTCCAAGATTTATGTGCTAAGTCAGGACATTAGCTCAGAAGGGTGATTTAACATGGCCATTGGAATCCCTGTGGTTAAATTATGCATCTGACCTCTTCACTGTATGTATTTCAGCAGTGTTAAATAATAAGCACTACATCCTTTATTACCATTTCCAGTTCTAATGACTGGCAGCACTATAAAAAGCACTGTTCCCAGTGACTCAGTCAAGGAGGTCAGGATAATGGCAGCATCTAACACAGAAATGCCAGTCTTCAAGGAAGGTGCAAGGCCACCCCTGGCTCCAGCAAAGACTAAAAGAGAAGTGGGGCTAAACAAAGCACTCAGCAGGGCTGAAAACAGCAAGATCTCCACTCCTTCAATCCCAAGCATGACACAGGCTGGGAGAAAATGGGCATCAGGCAAGGGATAGCGGAGAAAGCCTGGACAGAGATAGAGCATCTGATGAAGGGTGCCACTAGGAGAGAGGCTATGGAAACAGTGGAACTTAACACAGTTTAAGAATAGCTATCCCACTCCCAAAGGCGGTGGGGTTAGGTAGGGTGCGGGGACGGACAGCGATGTCTCGTGCAGGTATATAAAAAAATGCTTTGTGCTAAATAACCACAATTGTTTCATTGTTTCTGAAGACGAAGCAATGATGGAGCATCCAACAGCTACTAGCTCAGACCGCTGAAGATAAGTACAAGAGGATTTACTGGCCAAACAAAAGTACATTTTTTATTAATATACTTTTGGCTCTCTTTATGATATTTCAATATAACCCCTGGCTACTAGGCAGATGAGCGTATATTAGACTGAGATTTAATAAAACTCTATTTAGAAAGATGAGAACATTGCATAATACATTACAGAAACAAATGTATTTTTGAGGGGAGTTAAGGAAGATCTGAACATCCAGTCTCTTGAATTCGCCCGGAGCAGCCCTTTCTCACAAAGGACAGTGAGATGCATGTAAGGAGTCAGCAGTTACAAGAAGTGCTCCCACAGTATCAGAGCTCCTGGGGGTTGATAAGAAAGGAAGTCCAAATCAAGCTATGCTGTTGTTCTGTCTGAATTTTTCCTCTCTTTCTTCATTCGGATAAAAACAGACAGAACACCCACCTAGAAAACCCCCAAAACAAAACCAAAGCACAAACTAAGGAGGAATCCTGACCCCAAAAAAACAAGCTAATTGTAATTACATGGGATTATAAATCAAAGCAAAAAAGCTGCCAAGTTCTTGGAAGCGAGTATACAATAAAAATAAAAACTCCACACTGGAAAAACCCACAGTCTCAAAAGATGCTTATTATTCTTTCTAATAGAAAACAAGACAGCAGGGGCCACAGATGTTTGTTTATCCCTTAAAATTGATCTGCCCTTTACCACAAGTTCTTCCAAAGAACACTTTTTTTATTATTTTTAAAGAAGCATTCAAGACAGCAAACTAACTCTTCCTCGACCTTTTGTGGCCAACTTGATGATGACCTTCAAAAGGTTCAAAGTTTAAAAAAAAATAATTTCACGGTTTAGATTAAAAAGATGTATTTCAAGATATTTTTTTCATGCTAAGGCATCAGTATTAAACACCCAAACATATGAATAGCTCAGTCTCTGGATATAAACAGAACAAAATCTGACCCTCTTAAAAATCTAACATCATTACATATTTCTGTATCACAAATCATTCAAGTCCACCATGCACCTGTGTTTTTCCCATGAAAGGAGTGTAGCTGGGTTTTTTGGTTTTGTTTGGTTTTTGTTGGGGTTTTTGTTTGTTTGTTTGTTTTGTTTTTAATCCATTCTGGGTTCAAGGTTTTGAAGGATTTGCTTTACCTGCTTTTTCCCTGTTGCACATGCTTTCAAGGGACATAAAGAGAAACCAAAATGATTTTCAATGATTCAATACGTGTGCTGGCTGACCAAAGCACGATCATGCCAGTCATCCATTTGTTTCTGCATTTCTTTATCCCAACTACATAAACACAGTTAAGCCAAAACACTGCTCCCAGGCAGGAAGTAATTTTTGCTGATCTTAGAGTGGATCTTGAGATTAAGGGAACTACCTCCCTGGTGTAACCATTTAATTTTACATTTTCAGGAGCTCCAGTTGTCTGTTTATATCAATAAGGCCAATCCGCAGCCAACAGTGTTTTCACAGGGTTGATACTGCCAACATGCAAGAGCTTTCAGGTGAAAAGGCAAGGCGGGTTTTTTGCATGCACCACTCGGCAGATAGAAAACGAGTGCAGAAAGCGGCACAGTCTCCTCACTCGAAATTTTCCACTTTAGCCATTACATGAGGAAATACAAAACAGAGCACCATGCACTTTCTGCCCCTGGAGTAAAACAACTTGTGTGAGACATTACTTCTTTAACTGCTCTGCCAAAACAGTTACCAAGTACAAAACCAGAAGAATTCATGAGAACTTTGTCTTATTTCACTCATCACCATCTCTTCAGCTTCCCCAAAAATCAACCTGGTTTTTGGTTTGTAGGGCTGCTTTAGGATACTTGGCACAAAGATCAGTGATATTACAACTGGAGCCTGCTTTGCAACCCTTTCCCCTTACTAGCTATGCACACATGCACTCAGCATCTTTCCCACAGACACCCATGTCCAGAGACAAGCAGGACATCTACCATTGCCAGGATCCCAAAGAGACACATAGGATCCTGCTTCAGGACATGACTTTGCAATCCAGTGCCACTACCAGTGCCCAGGTACAAGTCCACGCGATGGACACCTGGAATGACATGACACCCAGGGAGGGAGAGGACTGCGGGGATGGGGGATTTACCTAATTCTAGTGGGAGGGTAAACTCACTACGACTTGACTGACCCGGCAGCAACATGCAAGGACAGATCTGCATCGCGTCCAGCCGCTCCCCTTGTCTTGGAAAGAGGGGACGCCGAGGGTCGGGCCGAGGGGGTCCGTGGGGGCTGGTGAGGGAAAGGGGGTGCCGAGGGAAGTCGCCTTTCTCACCTTGCTCACGACGTTTTGGACGAGGCCGGCTCTGATGCGGTAGTGCCACTCGCGGCAGCCGCACTCGCTGGCGTTGCCCGCCGCGGGGGTTGGCAGCCCGGGCGGGGGGGGGAAGATGCTGCCGTTGCCGCTGTGGTTGGTGTGGATTGGCGCCAGGGTCCCGCTCCAGTTGCCCTGCCCGTCCGCCTCCCGGCACCAGAAGTCGGGCTGATCCAGGAGGAAGGAGTCCGAGAACTTGCTGAAGCCGATGACGAGTGCCGGGACCCAGGTGAGCAGCACCAGGGTCCGCTGGTAGCGGCCGCCCAGCCCCCCGAGGAAGGGTAGCACCGAGCCGTCGTAGTCGAGGAGCAGCGGGCTGCAGGCGGCGGCGGGCGGTGGCACCGGCACCGCCTGGATCTCGACCCCGGCAGCGTTGGCGGGGGGCGGCCCCGGGGGGGCGGCAGCGCCCCCCCCCACGGCCCCCGGCACCGAGCCATTCTCCTCCGGCAGCGGACGGCCCCCGCCGCCCGCCTCACGGCGCCGGTCTATCGCCATGCAGCCGCCCGGGGAGGCTCACATAGGGGGGAGCTGGGGCAGCCCCGGCTCCCTCGAGAGTCCTTCCCTCCCTCTGCTCCGCGCGCACTCACTCACACACACACACACACACCTTGCAATGTAAGATATTGCACACACGCTCCCAGCCGGAGCCGGCAGGAGACGGATGGGGGAGGGAGGAGAAGGAGAGAGGAAGGAGGGGAGGAAGGAGAGGGGCGAAGAAAAGGGGAGGCACCGAGCGAGCCCCTCGCTCGCTCCCTTCCTCACCCGCACCCTGCGGCCACGAACCGCTGCAACTGCCGGCGGTGCCCCCCCTCCCCTCGCCTGTGCGTCAAGCTGCACTCATCCCAGCTCTCCCTTCCCCCTTCCGAGAGGCACAGCCGAAAATAAAAGGAAGGATCCAGCCGGATCCGAGCATGCAATGGGCCAAAAGAGAGGAAGGGAGAAGGCAGGGGGGGATGGAAAAGGAGGAAAAACCAAAAACAAAACAACAAAACACAACGACCCTGCGAACGAAACCCTGCAACAACAAACCAAGCAAAACCGGTGCAGCAAGGCACCGAACACGCCTCCTCTCCCGGTTTTGGTGAGGAGGGGGAGGAGGGAGAAGAGGGAAGGCAAAGGAAGGAGGAGAAGAAAATAACAGCTCCCGACACGGCTTCCCCGCTTCCCGCACAGCTAAGGGCTCCCCCCTGGCCGCGGCAGCAGCGGCGGCGGCAGCCCCCAGCACCTCCCCGCCGACCCGTCGCAGCCCCGCGTCCCGCACATCTGGCTCTGCAGCAAGGGGCCCCGCCGGCCCCTTCGCGGCCCGGGCTGCGGACGCGGACACCACCACCGCGGCCGCCACTGCCACCACCACCGCTGCCGCCGTGCGCCTCCCGCGGCAGTCCGCTCCCCGCGCCGTGCCGCCGGCCGCACCTCCAGAGGCGGGCAGGAAAACCCGCCCGGCTCCTCGCTCTCCGCCTCCCGGCAGCCCCCACCTGCCGGCCCGGCCCCGGCCCCGGCGCCACCGCCCCCCGCTCCGCCCCCGCGGTGCCGGGCGGCCGCACCTGCTCCCGCCGTGCCGCCCGCCCGGCTCGGCCCGGCCCGGCCTGCCCAGCCCTCGCCAGGGACCCGCCGCCGCCGCTGGGGGCGGGGACGGCGCCGCGGGGCGGGGAGGGCGCGGGGCGGCCCCGCGGGGGTTCCGCACCGCCCCGCGACCGCGCTGCGCTCCGGCGGAACGGGGCAGGTGGGGCGGGGAGGGCCGGGGGAGGAGCGGGAGGCGCTGCCGCTCTGCAGCGCGCCGTTTCCATATCAATTATTTACACGGTGTGTATGTGTGTGTGTGCCTTTAATAACGCAGCGCGGCTGCAGCGGGCTGGGCGGGAGCGCACCGCACCGCCGAGCTGCAGGAGCACCCTGGGTGGCTGAAGGGAGGACGACACTTGGAGGGAAGGGCCGAAAGGCGACGGGGGCATTTCTGAGACCTAGAGCGCTGCGAGGAGATGTGTCTGGATCGCTTCGGCCAGCCTGCCGCATCAGAAAAAAAATTAGCACCTGACTTTAATTGTGAAACAGGCATTTCGAATTTTATTTCGAAGGCTATTTTTATGTTAAGCTAAATTTACTTCTGCATGTAAGTGCCTCACACTGTTTCCATCGTGGAGCACAGCCTGTGCATTACTGAACTGTGTGGTTATTTTTTCCTTTGTAAGGAGGGGAAGAGAGACAACAGATCAATATACGCTTGTACACATGAACATGGCTAGTGAGCAGAAAATGCTTGTGTGCATTAGAAGAGGACTGGCATCATTGCCAAATATAAATGGAAGAGCAAGTTGTTGGTGGATTTTCATTTACTTGATCTGGTCTCTGCAAGCAAACTGTACACCATTAATGCCTTCAAGCTTACTCGTTTTAGCTCCTTGTCTTACAGAGAACACCAGAAAGTTTCCCATCTACACCACTTCAGGGTAGCTGTGGATCACTTTTTGTGGGGCTTCCCTCAGTCCCACTCTGAGGGACACACAGTACCCAAGAGGCCCTAAAGCTTCCCCAGGCAACACTTTATCCTCCTGTCTGCATATTCCTTGCTGAATTCTGAATGGGGTGCTCCCTGCCCAGGGAAGTATCCTCTTTCTGTGTTGCAGTGCCCTTTTACATCTGATGGCTGCTGTCATGCCCCTGTGCCATGTTTTCTTTATGATGACCAGCTGCAATTTGTCCACCTGTACTGCTGTCTCTTTGGCCACCAACTGCCCTCAGCTCTCCTCTGGTTTCCCCTCAGTTGGTACCTGCAGCCCGCACTAAGCAGTACCCCAGCCTCTCTGTGTAGCCCTGTGTACCCAGGGGGTACCCCTGCCTCCAAAAACAATTCCTCTAATAGCTTTTTAGTCACGTTCTGTGCTTTCCAAGCAACTTCTTGGGATTATTTTGAATTCTTATTTCATCCTCCAATGTGTTTGCAGTCACTCCCCAATTAATGCCAGCTCCAATGATTACTAACAAAAGATTCCAGGACACACCCCGTTGAAATTGCGTTTATAATCCACCCGCTTGCTACTAAACCACTGATGGCAGCACTTTCCCCAGTGTTGTACCCACTGCCTAAATTTTTCAAATAAACTGAACTCCCTTATTCATGAACACGTGTGTAGAGTCTAAGACAGATGAGGGCAGGCCTTTCTTCCATACAAAGGTCTGTTCCTCCATTGCCAAAGGAAATTTGGCCAGCGTGTCCCAGTTTCTTGTTGACAAGTTCATGTTAATAGCTGTTTATCTTACTGCTTCCTTCTATCCGTTTACAAGTAGTGTGTCCATTTGTACTTTATGCTTTCTGGGGAAAAAATCCGGCTGTTCAATTTTTTTATTTATTTACTTATTTATTTTCAAACGCCATCTTAAAGATAGGTATCAATTCTGCCTCTTTCTATCAGCAGAGTCCTTGGCCATCATCTCTGAATTCTCAGAGATAAACACTAGTGTTTCCAATGCTGTCTGAGCCACTTGCTTCATTACTGTGGTATGAAGTGCAGCCAGATTGTTGGTTTGAACACCTCTAAGTTATCTAAATACTCTTGTAACTAGTTCTGTCTCATTCTGGGCCAAAATCTTATTCCCTTATCATTAATATGTATTATGTCAATCACCTGTTCACAAGTGGCCTCTTTTAGCCAAGACTGGTGCAAAGAAATCCTAAGGCACTCTGAGTCTTCTTGGCATCAGCCAGTAGCTTTCTCTCTCTGATGAAAGAAAGCTTCTGACTTCTTACCACTGATGTATTCACCAAACGATTTCTTGTTACTTGCAAAGCTCTTGCTAGTTAAGTTTTGATTCTTGAACTGGCTTTTTTGTATTTGTCCCTATCTGTTCTTGGCAAGCGGCACTTCTGCACTCACCCCATGGAAACCTGATCTGCTTCCTCTGGGCTTGCTTTTCATAAGCTCGTGATTAGTCCAATCATCAGCTTCCTAACATTCCCAAATTTCTTCTGCAATGGGATCATTTGGATTAGACAGGTCTTCTAGAAACTCCTAGCTACCACTCACTGTCTTTTCCCGCAGAGGCAAAAAGCCTCATCATGGCCTGAGATTGGCAAAGTGAAATGTTGAGGGAGGAGGACTTCGGGAGCAGAGGTCTCAAGTTGAAATTCTGAGGAAAGTGAAATTTGGCTGAAGAAAGCAAAGAATTAAAAACTGGGAAGAGATGGGAAGGAAAAGAAGAGCCATTAGAGAAGTAAGTAGGATTACTGTGAATAAGTAGATCTGTAGAAAAATAACAATGTCATACAGTACAATGAAAAGCCCTTAATGAGAGGTTACAACCCTTACTCAAGCTGATCAAACATTTTCATCCCCAACACCTCTTCTGGGCTGCTCCTATATCCTGAGTTTTTGTTTGGAACTGAAGTATTTCAAAGGTAACATATTCCTGAGGGTTACATATTTTTACATATTAGGAGTTCTGCCCCTGACACAGTGATCATCGAGAGACTGTTTCTGCATAGAAGAAGGTTGCAGACAAAAGAGGAAAGAAAACACATTTCTAGGAGCTAAGAAATAAATTTTTGATGAAATAAGTATGACTGAAGCAAAACTTCATGGAAAAATATCTTTCAAATAACCGAAATGCCTTTACATATTCATCTGAAAATTGATTTTGGTTTAAATGAGGAAATGAAAAACATTTGAAAGGAATATTCCAGCTCTGTGGTGGAGCCCACACATGAGCAAATGCTAAAGTTAAGAGGCGAGCCTCTCTCTCCTGAGCAAGGCTTCATGAGGAGCTATATTTTGTGATGAAACAAGGTTTCTCCAACAGTGCCTCTGACCTCAGAAGATGCAGGACCTTTGGGATATCCCTTCGCTGGAATACAGAAAGATACCATTTAAGAGATAAGTCGCATTCCAGAAGATAATGAATCAATGTCTTTTGGCTTATTTTTTCCACTTTCACTGAGTTATATTAGGAAAATTGAATACCATTGTAACATGGTTCTTCACCAGTTTGGGAAGGAGGAGCAAAGAACATGAATATGGCCTACTCTGACAGGAGCAGTTTGATTGCCCTATTGCAGAACAATGCTCTTGTTGCAGAATGAGCACCCTGTCTATTGGCACCCCACCGCAACTCAGAGGGTTTGAAGCCAGGACCCAGAGAAATACCATTATGTTTACCGAAAGTAAGAAAAAAAAAAATCAAGCTCCCTCAGCCTTAGCATTAACATTTTCACATTCCTGAAAGGCCAGCTGCAGTACTTTGAAGAACTCCTGGCATAAATTTCTGGTTTATGTGGAATTTGCAACAACCTCATTCCACACAGCAACAATCCTAGCTATATTTTATTGGTTTATGGGATGTATGCTTCATTGCCTTTTTTGTCTAAAGGAATCCTGTACTGTAGAGGTGAAAACATGACAGTGCAATAAACCAAAGCTACTTGGTACAAAGCCTGATTAATAATATCACCTAGTGGAATGAAGACTGCTTATATACTGGAGAAAAGCATGGTGTCTTCCGTAGGATCGCTTGATAATTCAAGTTGCAAATGATCAGGAGGTCTTTAGTCTTACCTCCTCTTGAAGCAGGATCAGTTATGGGATCAGATTTGGATGTGCAGTGCTTTATCAAAATGCAGTAGGGGATTTTTCAGCTCAGGAGGGCAGGATGAGTACTGTGAGAGCTGGATGTGAGGCAAGATAAATGGAAAGAAAGAAGAATGAGTTCAAATTGGTAAAAGGGGCTGAGCCACCTGGGGAACAGGCAGGAAAGCCTGTGCTTATTTCATCGTGCTCTCTTCCGACCCTGATTGAACCAAAGACACCTGACTTTCACCATTTTTCTGATGTCAGCAAACATTAGCAAAACTCACTGGCAAAATATTCTGTCCCTCCTGATGCTGATTCAAATAGAAGATGATGACCTATTATCTGTGTCGTTTACTCTGCTGGCAGAGATATGTACTTCATATGGGGAGGGATCCAGCTGGAGAAGGGTTCCCATCCCCCATCTGCTCGGGATGTGAGCATGCTGGGGAATGTGTGTGGCTTTGTTTATTATCCTAAACCCAGAAAAAATTATTTGTACACTAATTATTGGAAAAAATCATACATGTTGCAAAATCAAGCAATCTGACATTGGTTAACACTGTCACTAAGATTGCTTGGGCAATGTCAATTTATGCCCCAGATCAGTGCACATGCATCCTGATGTAACGTTTAATGAATGGTGCATTATGATGCAACCTATAATTACATTATTACTTACAGTTTTTCTTGGAATCTCCTGTTTTGTTCAGTTAAAAATAAAAAGAAATAAATATTTATTTTTTTAAAGATATGTTTGACTCTCAGAAGGATTTAAGCACTTAAAATATCATTGAGAATCTGGGTCTTAATGAGGAACAGTTCAGTATTTTGTTTTCTCCTTGTTCAGTATGGAGCCCCATGACTTATTCACTGCACTAACTTCAAACCCGACTCTAAAGAACTAATGATTAATGTCCTCATGGGATTTTTTAATAATTCTCCCCTTTGAAGTATCCAAGTGTTTCACAAATATTAATGCGTTTATTTTCACAATGTCTCCAGAAGGAGAAGGTTGATTACCTTCTTTTCATATTGGGAATCTCAGGGGCACATAGGTTGAGGTAATAACCTTGATGTTTTGGGTACTTGCAGCTCCTAGCAGTTTATCATTCTAGAGTATGGTGCAGCATTTTGCATTTCAGAAGCACAGTTCCTATTGGCAACTGTGACTGGACAGTGCTTTTGTAAATCTGACTCCAAGGTCTCAAGGTATGCGCTCACAAAATTAGACAAATGCAATGGCAATAATATCATAGAGTGCTTTGAGGAAGAGACAGAAGCCTGAGATCACTCCTGGGCAAAACGATGGAGCAGCTGATGTAGCACTGGATTAATAAAGAATTAAAACTAGGTAAGACAATTAAAGCCAGTTAACCTGTATTTAAGGAAAATATACTTTGTTACACTACCTTTTTTTATTTTTAATGACTTTATCAATTTGGTTAATGAAGA